GGATGGAGGGGGGGAGGGATGGAGGGGGGGAGGGATGGAGAGGGGGAGGGATGGAGATGGATGGAGCATAGATCTTGAGCGTAGAAGCGTAGTAGTTTTTGTATCTTCATGAAAACAAGCCAAAAATAGGTCCAGGTTCTGTAGGATTTTTTCTTTTTGCCATCACTTGTGCTGAAATAGATCTTTACCAGTGGTGGGAGGCCTAAGAAACCATTTATTTATCTGATATTAGTATTGAGAATTATAGGCATATGTTGATATATATCTTTTTTTCTGACATACAGGTGAAGTTGGTGCAACACACATACTCCTGCCTCTATGGAACATTCCTTGCCAATAACCCATGTGAGCGAGAACAGCGCAACCTCTACAAGCGAACCTGCTCAGTGTGGTCCTTACTGAGAACGGGCAACAAGAACTTTCACAACCTGCTCTACATGCCTGGTGGAGAGCTGGTAGGTGGAACATGCTACTCAACAAAATATCTCCACGTCAGTCACGAAATCCACTGTACAGAGACAGTGCATACCCAAACTCTGCATAATGTTTTTTTTTCTTTTAGTCATATGGTTTCGGTACAGAACTATTGAACTGTATTGTTTCTTAGGTTCTACACCCAGTTTGTCATGTTCGGGCTCTTCAGCTCTGGACAGCAGTGTATCTACCCACATCATCACCCTGTGCACCTATTGATGACGGCATGGAGCTCTACCTTTCCCCAGCATCTCAAGGCCCTGACTTTAATTCCAGATCCCTGGACAGGTAACTCTGCTGTATTTCAGTTGAAGAACACATAAGCATATAACATTGTGTAATAGGTAAAAAGCATAATAGGTTTTCTTTATAATCATTCTACTGAAGCACAGTCCTCGTTTGCTAGGCATAAAAACGGTAAAATAAATACAAAAGGAAGCTTAAATGTATTTTATACAGTTGTTTTTAGTGCAGCTTTTTATATTCTGGTGGCCTTAAATATTTTTTGTGTATAAAATAAAAGATGTCATCCAACAGTAAAGAACATCTAAATAGCTTGCTTAATCTCATATTTTTGGTATCTGAACAGGCATACTGCCAGTTGTGTGCAGGGATAAGTGCCCTTTAAGGCTGAATTCAGACTTAAAGGAGAATTATGAGGAGTGATTTCCACTCAGCCTCATAATCTGAGCCAACCTGTGACAATGAAACTGTCACAGGTCGGCTCAGTAGATCGGGAAGTGAGCAAACGCACTTCTCGATCCTGTGCCGGCAGAGAGCCGTGACAGGGGGAGGGACTGGATTCCCCCCTCCCCTGTCCGACCCTCCAGCACTGACTGGCAGAACGGACGGGGGAGGGTACAGCTGGCTCTGCCTCTAGATAGGCAGAGCCAGCTGTTAATCCCGCAGCTGGGTGGATCCAGACAAAATTGTCGTGATCCATTTCGGCTGCTGGGTCTCTGTATACCGTGAGCTGTAGCTCGCGGTATATAGAGCTTTTGGTCATGGGAGAACGCTAGTTGGCGTTCTCCCGCGACCCTCAGGAGAACTAAGGGGAAAAGTCCTGACCCCATGGTTCTCCTTTTTTAAGCGCTTGAGTCACTGCGTTTTTGACGCTCATCGTGATGCATTGACGTGCACTGCCTTTCCTTTAAAAAGTTTTTAAGAAAACAGAAATGACCTTTTTTAGGGGTAATGCATGTTAATTCACCGCATATATGTGAACAAGTACCATTAAAAACAGCGGCTAACCTCTGCACATATTTTAATGATCATTTAAACCTATAGGTATGATTGGGTGCTTAAAATTGATAATGCATACTTTAGGGGTGTGGACATTTTTGAAAAAACTACTTGTCCAAGTACTAAAGCGGGGGGCCCGATCTACTTGTCCCTCATGACAATCTACTTGTCCTGATACAAAAAAAATAATTTTAACCAAAACCGTATTTAGCAGTGCTAAGAAGCGCTTCTCATTGGTCAGTGCCGTCAGGTGACTGCATTGACCAACGAGTGCTTGCAATTTGCGAGCGAAATTCAGAATACATGGAAAAGGTACAGATAGTACACCTGGACTGGTGGACGGGAAGGACCAGTCGCCGAAAGGTAAGTATAGTGGGAGGGAGATTTGTGCGGGTAATTCCTTTTTCCCAAATTACTTGGGAAAGTGAATATACCCTTTAGGGTTGGTGCAGACCTGCGGATTCCTGGGACGTGCGATCGTGTGCGGTTGCATCCGCATGTATGGGGTTACATCTGGGTGGCAATCGCTGAAAAAAAGGTACATGTACCTATTTTCACGACCTGCACAGCGCTATATTTTCAACCGTGATCGTGTGGGATCGCCCTGGCGTTATTGCTGCAGGAAAACGCGCAATCTGCCTGGCACGACTGGTGTGCCATTAGAAAATAATGGCACTGACAATACGATCGGCGGTGGTCTGGATTCCGTGACCACCCAGCCATCAGCTCGGTTTCGTGCACGATGACCGGGCAGTCACGGATCGCACAACACTGCGGATCGCGCTGGCAGTGCCATTATTTTCTAATGGCACACCAGTCGTGCCAGGCAGATTGCGGTGTTTTCCTGCTGCAATACCGCCCTGCCCGAGCGGTTGCACACGATCGCAGTTGAAAACACTGCACGTTTATTTGCATGCAGCGGGGCTGGTTTAAATTTTTTCCATTTTTTATTTACTTTGTAAAAAATTTTTTTATTATTTTTACTTTTATCGCCTTTTTATTTTTTAAATTTTTTTTATTTCGTTTTTTTTAAAAACTTAACTGTAGTGCTATCACACAGTGATAGCTTTTGGAGGTGACAGGTTCTCTTTATTGACCCTGTCACCTCCAACACGAGTTCTAGCACTGGGCTGGTTTAAATTTTTTCCATTTTTTATTTACTTTGTAAAAAATTTTTTTATTATTTTTACTTTTATCGCCTTTTTATTTTTTAAATTTTTTTTATTTCGTTTTTTTTAAAAACTTAACTGTAGTGCTATCACACAGTGATAGCTTTTGGAGGTGACAGGTTCTCTTTATTGACCCTGTCACCTCCAACACGAGTTCTAGCACAGCACTGTGCTAGAACTCCTGTGACAGAAATGAGCAGCGGCCGCCAGAGACAGAGGCTGAGGGAGGTGGCGGAGCCTATCACTACTCCAACGCCCCAACCCTCCCCGGCCCCGCTCTCAGTGCTCCGGCCCCGCCCCCTGCTCTCGTAGCTGCACGCTCCGGCCCCGCTCTCAGGTGCTCCACGCTCGCAGCGCCGCTCTTGGCGCTTGTTTAAAAATAGTAAAACCAGCCCTGCTACTTGTCCATAGCAGGGCTAAAACAGTGAAACAAAAACCACTTGCCCGGAACTGCATGTCCCGGGCGTCGGGCGATACGAATTCCACACCCCTGATACCTGTCTTTTTTCCATGGCCCTGACCTTCCGCAATGTTCACATCCTTCAAGGACAATCCTCGCACTGCTAGCTGTAGCTGATATACGCATAGCCGTAGGAGACAAGATGGAGGTAAGTATACATTTAGGGAGGGTCGGTTACTTGGGTTGGTGAGGGGCAAAAAGCATAAGTCACCAGTCTGTAGCATTTACAATGATATATGGAAAATGTCCACTAAGATAAGTGGTATTCATATAACTTTTTGTTGCCCTTTGCTAGATGCCATGTAAGAGAAAATAATTCCAGCTCGATTGAAAATCGTCTGGTGTAGACAGATTTCCAGACTTTTCCACTGAAGTCTAATCTCAAATTTATACTTTTCATATTCATCCGTGAATGTCAACAAACTATCTTTCCTATATAGAATTATAAAAATGGTGTAATTTATGTTTAGTGGTCCTCCATGGCACTTTGTATGAGAATTTGTGTACTCTCTTAGGTTACCTAAAACTCGTTCAATGGAGAATCTTGCAACTGCGTGTGACAGCGGAGGAATACTCACCCGTACTTCAAGTGACCCAAACTTAAATAAACATCAGTCTAGCTTGGACTCGCATTGCAATAATGCTGATGATAGTGAGGCAGGAAGTCAGAATGCTCTGCAGCAGAAGGATGGCGATAGAAAGGAAGAAGAGGAAGATCATGATCCCCACAAAGTCCGCCATGAAGAAGAGTGGAAGCGAGAACCCAAAGAAAGTAATGAGAATATTCAGCTGAATGGACATGAAACTTCATCAGATACAGAAACCAAGTCTAATAACTCTGAATGTGACGGTGATGATCCTGCACTAGAAAATAAAACTGAAATACTGGAACAAAAAACCGATAGGGATCAACACACAAGCCCCGACTTAAAGCCTCTCCCCTGTCAAAGCTCAGAGGGTGATGTGTCTGCCAAAATCTCTTCATGTAAAGAGAATAGCAAACCTGGGAAACTAGCAAAGGACCTATGTAGGACTGACAAAAAAGCTATCTGTCAAATTCCACGAAGTGACATTTCTTTGTTGGCATCAAATTGGGACAGCTTACAAGGAATGATGAAGTCAGTACCAGTTGGAGATACTGTACTTCATCATCCTTTGTCATATGACTATTCCACAAGGAGTCTCCATAGCAAACATGGAAGACATGCAGCCGGCTCATACAGTTCCAGAGATGCTGCAAAGGTTTCCTACCATTTCCGTCCCTCATTGCACTGTTCTGGCCCCACAGTTAGAAGCTGTAGAGGGTCTGTGATGTGTCATCCTAGGCCATTTCAGACTGGACGTTTCTTTCCTTTGGCTTGTCCTTCACCCGCACCTCTCATGTACCAAGATGATGATGGTTTGCCTATTCCAAATGATGTAGTACAACAGAGGTTGCGGCAAATGGAAGCCAGCTACAAACAAGAGGTTGACCTGCTCCGAAGGCAGGTGTGGGAATTGCAGTTGCAGCTGGAAATTCGGCAGTATTGTGCTCCGCCGCCTGAACCAGAGACTGACTACGAAGATGACTTTGTGAGTTCTTTTGTATGAATAACTTGACAACATGCAAAGTGGCATGTGTTCCCTTTTGATGACTGAATGATGAATGTATCTCGTTAGAGGGATAAATATCGGTGTACACATTTCTCTTTGTATTACTAGCACCCAATAGAGAAAGCAGCCTTGTTTGCATTCTAAATGAGCTATGCATGTGGACACCGTTAGTCTTTGTCAGGATCATGAAGTCTCAATCATAACATCTGTTCACTGGACAGTCAGCACAGGGAAAACGGAAACTTGTTACGTGGCATTTTGCACAATTTGTCACCCATTTAAACCTTTCTTCTTTTTTTTTTCCTTCATGTAAATCATTTGCTGGTAATAATCAAAACATAAACTGAAGTAGGGATCTTTCAGGTGTGGCCACACGCCTGTTTATGCATTCACATAAAATCCAGTGTGCACGCAGAAGAAGCTCAAAGTGACTGCTTTTGCAAATCAATCCCCACTCTCTCCAGAAACGAACCCTTCCCCTCTCTCTCCAAAAATGAACCCTTCCCCCGCTCTCTCCAAAAATTAACCCTTCCCCCGCTCTCTCCAAAACCGAACCCTTCCCCCGCTCTCTCCAAAAACCGAACCCTTCCCCGCTCTCTCCAAAAAAACTAACCCTTCCCCGCTCTCTCCAAAAAAACTAACCCTTCCCCGCTCTCTCCAAAAAAACTAACCCTTCCCCGCTCCCTCCAAAAAAACTAACCCTTCCCCGCTCTCTCCAAAAAAACTAACCCTTCCTTCCCCGCTCTCTCCAAAAAAACTAACCCTTCCTTCCCCGCTCTCTCCAAAAAAACAAACCCTTCCCCCTTTCTCTCCAAAAAAACGAACCCTTCCCCGATCTCTCCAAAAAAACGAACCCTTCCCCGATCTCTCTAAAAAAACGAACCCTTCCTTCCCCACTCTAACTGCAGTGACATTTGAGGATACTTTTCTCCACAGTGCATGCAGCTACAGAGGTCGGTGAGTTGGTTTTAAAGTTAATTCACTGCTTGTTAAAAATATGCAATGTCCATAGTCTGACAATAGGTTCACTTTAACAACCAGTCTAATAAAAAATGATCTTGCTTATTACATGAGTACATACTAAGTATATCTGCTATGGTCTTCGGAAGATAGTAATGAATCTGCAATGAGATCATTATGTAATTAGAAAAGTTGAAAACCCAAGTCGTTGTGGACTAGTCTCTTTTAATGGAATGCCTAGGTGTGAGTTATAAGATTTGGATAAATCCACCATCTTTACTTTCTGACATTCTGTTTCATTGTAGTTATGAACTGAGCAGCAGAATATACTGTATGTACTGTGTTCTTGTGATGCAGCATGTCGTCACTAATTTCAATCTGACAATTTTAAGGCTGTATTGGAAGGAGCATTTTAATTGATTTATCCCATGACTGTTTAGTTCTAACACATTTTACACTATCTTGTTCGTCTGCTAACAGACCTGTGTAAAAGAGTCAGATGGCAGCGATATGGATGACCTGTACTCTGATAAAAGCGAGGACCGACTTTCAGAGGCCAGCTGGGAGCCAGTGGATAAGAAAGAAACCGAGGTAACCAACCATTCAAGGGACTTGCAAAGACACTAATGTAAATCGGAAACAGAATGTAGAATATTTTTCCTCCAGTTAAGTAGAATATTTTGCCTGTTTAGTAGAATATCTGGATATGGAAAATTGCAGAGAAAATTGATTGACTTTTTAAAAAAATGACCTAACGGCAAATACTACAGATATAACATTCCTTATAATATTTCATATTGCATAAGTATTCCCAGTGCTGATAAGCTGGCTGAAACATGTGTCTCTTCATAAAGGTTACAAGATGGGTACCTGATCACATGGCTTCACATTGTTTCAACTGTGACTGTGAATTTTGGTTGGCTAAACGAAGACATCACTGCAGGTAGAATGTTGTTCTTTTGAATTATCTGACGTATAGAAATTCTTGTCAATGTTGTTGTATATTCCCTGGGAGTGATTTTGTGTACTCATAAATACAGCAGGTCAATCGTATGGCCTTCATGAAATGTAATGTATTGGGGATCACCCCTGACTTGATTTAATATCATACAGACATGTAATTATTTTAGAAATGGTTTATTGGCTGACCAGGAATCTGCCTGTAATAGGAAGCAATGGTTTATGACTTACAGTAAGCCCCCATTCACACTTGTGTAGCGTAACTCTCTTCTGCCAGAGAGAGACGCTGTGGTGCATGGTGCTTTTGGCTGTACACACTGGCTTTCTTTTTGCCCCTTTTATTCAACTACTGGGCTTGCTGTCCCAGGTAAGTGAAAAGGTTCTGCTTCTATGTATTGTACAGCTCCTCCATCATGGCCTTCCTTGGTAAACAGTCCTATGTGAAAGTTCAGCACCCCTGGCCAAATTCCATGTTGTGTTAACTAGGGCTGCAACAACTAATCGACATAATCGATTATAATCGATTATTGAAAAAGTTGTCAACTTTTTCAATAATCGATTAATCGGCTTCCGATCAGTTGGCCCTGTTCACGGCTCCACACGCTGTGCGCCGCACCTCCTCCTCACCTCACGCTCGCCGCTGCCAGACCCGCTCGCATCCACGCTCCACACGCCGCACCTCCTCCCCGCCTCACATTTCCTGCCCATCCACATCCACGATCGGCACTGGGACGCGGGGAGATGTAGTAAGGAGGAGCAGGTGTGGGGGGATGACAGCTGCTGATAGACGGGTCCGATCTCAGAAGCACGTTGCTGGAAGACTGCACTTTCCCACACATGGTGCTCTATAATGTATTGCTGGGATTTGTATTTCTCTATAGCTGATGGTACATTGTGCTGTATATTATACATAGGAATACAAATCCCAGCAATACATTATACACTGTATGTATAATGTATTGGTGGGATTTGTTGTACTCCTCTATAGCTGGTGATATTCTGCATTGCGCTGTATAGAGGACTACAAGTCCCAGCAATAATACATGATACAGCGCAATGCAGAATACCACCAGCTGTAGAAGAGTATAACAAATCCCAGAAATAATACATTATAAAGTGGTACAATGCTAAATACCACTAGCTATAGAGGACTACAAAACCCAGCAATAGTACATTATACAGAGCAATGCAGAATGCCGCCAGCTATTATGTACTATTGCCGGGATTTGTTGTATTCCTCTATAGCTGGCGGTATTCTGCATTGTGCTGTTGCTGGGTTTTGTAGTCCTCTATAGCCGGTGCCATTCTGCATGCATTGCTGTATAATTTTACACTTTCCATTTCACTATATTGCACACCACACCACTATCTTTTTTTTTTTCTTTTTTACTTCCACCGGTCCAAGCTTGCTCCTGTGATGGACTACAACCTCAATACAAACTAGTAGTCCATCACTGGAGCCATTTTTTAAACTTTATTTTATAGTTTATCCGATTAACCGATTAATCGAACTCAATAATCGGCTAACTAATCGATTTTTTAAACTTTATTTTATAGTTTATCCGATTAACCGATTAATCGAACTCAATAATCGGCTAACTAATCGATTTTTGAAAATAATCGTTAGCTGCAGCTCTAGTGTTAACACAACCTGTGTAGGGGACAAAGTTTTTAAACCTGACGCGTTTCTGCTAATTTTAATACACTGTTGTCTATTTGATGAATCGAATAAACTAGAAACATAGAACCTGAAATGTGCCATGTGCAGAACTTCTGGCTTTCTGTGTGTTGCTACTTTGTCGCATTCTTTTCCTCCAAATTGCAGCTGGCTAAAAGCTTTTCTGTTCTTGCTTCAGGAATTTTTTCCCCCCACTCTCTTTGTGAAAGCTTTGGGTTCAGAAATGTCTTCCACACATGGTTGTTTGATGCTACCCACAGGTTACAGTTCCACCCTCCATGCTCACATTTTTGTATTTTCACTCCACATGAACCGCTACATTTACAGTTGGAAATGTATGGGAGCTGTTTGACCTGCCAAAGAATTTGTATTCCAGTCTTCCTAGAATTACACAGTCCCTGCCACACAAGCAGGCCTGACCTACATTTTTTTCCCCTATAGTTCAATTAAACTTGGTCACCTCCCTAACTGCAGTATGTGAATGGACAGTGAAGAAGCAGCACCTCACTGTTGAGCTCATACCTTTGCTCTCTCCTCCAAGCATGTTACCTGTTGGCATATTTGCATGCAGCACACCTGATTGGCTCCTGGTTCTGCCCCTCCTTGTTTGAGTTTGACAGTACAGAGGATTAACCTCCCTGGCGGTCTGATTATCTCAGTTTTTTTGTTTTTTTTTCTTCTATTTTTTACTTTTAACTTTCCTGCCGGTTCCGGCCCCTGCGACGCGGGCGCTCGCAAGGGACGGATGCCGGCATCGGCCAGAGGACACAGCGGGGCTCGTGGACAAGGTAAGTGACGCACAGTGTAATCCCGAGTGTGGATTACCGCCAGGAAGGTTAACAGAAGCTGTTAGGAAATCAAATGCAGGATACTCATTGCTTTTCAAGGGTAAGTTCACCTATACATAAAAAATGAAAAGGTGAACGATCTCCGAACATCTTCCCCACTCTCCCAGTAATCAGAAGAAAGCCTTACCAAAATGTAGCACCTGTACATGGATAACACAACACTTAAATAAGGTAAAATCATTCTGGAACCATTTGATGAAGTAAAGCTAATAAAGTGCTGGTTGGTGCCATTATGCATTCATGTGTTTGAAAGGGTAAACTCTCCTATTCATAGAAATGAAAAGGCGAAATTACTCGTAACACCCTCCTTGTTCCCCGGTCTCTGGAGAGGATACCATCTCCCACCACCAATGCCAACTGGTGTCGGGATCCCGGCACATGAAAAGTCACTACACAGCCCCAGAGGCTCTGCAGCATCATAATGCTATGTGACAGCATGGACTACTGAGAATCTCTTCTTTCTTTTGGGATGCTGTTCCAGGAAAAAGAAGGCTCAGGAGGAAATCTGAATGGTCACTTGTAGCAACTCTTTACCCATTGTACCTAGTTTACCTTCTCAGAAACAGAGGATAGACTAGGAGCAGCAGACAGGGAGGAAGTAATAATGCTGTATTTACATTCCTGGTGGTTGTGGCTGTAACATTTAGAGGAACATGGATTGGGCTGTACACAATAACTGAAACATTCATAAATAGTATGCGAGTCTCTCTAGGGGAGTCCTGAACTGCAAAACAATAAAGATGAATCTAGATGGCACCATGAGCTACTTGAGAGTTGTTTTTTTGTTTTTGTTCTGTTTTGAAGCAGCATTTTAAGAGAACCTGTTATAAAGAATCCAGAAACACTTTTCCCCCTGCATTATTAACAAAAATATTTTCATTCTCTCTAATTCTCTCATCTTTATTTTCTCTAGGAACTGTGGAAATGTTTTCTGCGCCGACTGCTGTCACTTAAAGCTCCCAATTCCCGACCAACAGCTCTACGACCCAGTCTTGGTTTGCAATACCTGCTATGACCACATCCAAGTCACACGTGCTAGGGAGCTAATGTCCCAGCAGCTGAAGAAGCCCTTAGCTGCAGCATCAAGCTGAGTGCCAACCAAGAAAACCGATCTGGCTTCAAGCTCCTCCTTTAGTTCTTTGCAGCCAAGATGAAGTTTTGAGGGGATGGCGTGACTACTAATATATGGTTGCATGCCGGTGAACACATACTTCGGTAGAAAGCCACACACCGGCTTACCTTAGCATTATATTTCTGCACCTTGGCAGGTTTGTTCCCAACACAAAAGTGTGTAGGGTCTGTGAAGGACAGCTCGGGTTTTAGATTTTGGTTTCAGATTTCTCTTGCCGTAGCTAAGATTAAGCTCCTTTTTTGTTGAAGGTTGTAAAAGGAAAGTGGTCAGACAATCGGGTGGCCTGACAAGAGCCGAGAGAAGAAAGGTGACAAGAATTCAAGCTGCATTGTCCTTGTTAAAGGGTTTTTTCTTTTTTTGTTGTGTTGAAGTGAGATCCGGTTCTGGTGGTCTTAGCTATGTGTTTATTTTGTCCCAAATCTCTCTCCTGATCGGGCCGTGTCTCCTGCTGCTTTTGATCTTGTATCTCATGAATCAATCAAAAAATCTGGTTAAAATGTGTTTGCATTTGAAATGCGGGATTTACGTGTAAATAAAAGGGTAACAGGTAGCTACGAAACTGTGAATATTAACCCTTATATTGCTTAAAAGAGCTTGCTTCTATATGTAGTGGGTCCTTTTTATTGCTAAGGGTTTGTGTATAAGTCTTCTCTCCAAGCTTTGAGGCTTTAAATACACCCCCTTCCCCCCCTTATTCACCATTTCTGTGTTTTATAAATGTCTATCTCTTTATGTTTTGTCTCACACGTGTCTCCTATTTGGCTATACTTGGGTTGGATCCTTAAAACTTGATTTCTGATTGGTTAACAAAAGTGTCCCGTATGAACTTTTAGGTCTTGGCTGTTCCTGTGTTTCTGTCGAGGGGCTTCATAATAAATGCTGCTATTTTGAATTTTTGTGCACTTAACCAATGTAACCCAGAGAAGGGACGAAATGTTGATACCAAAAGGTTTTGTGACGCTAGGTCAATCGACTTTGTTTTACTATTGATCTGTAAAGTGCCACTTTGCTACACAAACAATTAGCCATGATGTGTCATTTTATTGCTTGAGCATTTTTGTAAATACATAACTCTCTCTCACCGGCTTTCCGGTACCACACTGCATTCAGAAGATTGTCTCTGAGAAAGGTGTGAAACTGCTCTGTGCTTGGAAAAAGCCAGGCAACGATGTAATGGTTGGTTGCTGTCTGTGGAATCATTGTAAAGGAAGTAGTCTAGATGAACACTATATGCCGTCTTCTTAAAGTGACTCTGGGATGAGAGGTTATCCCAGAACCAGCTCGGTTAAAATATGTCTATGCAGCACCTATTTTACCCATCTGCTTTACAATCTTGGTACATTATGGTTCAGTGTAGTAGAATGTTTGTTAGAAAATATCTTCTCACCTGAATTGCATGGCTGCTTCCTGGGAGGAGAGAGGTGAATGCTGGTAGTGTCCTTCATTGAAAGAGGTATGCTGGTTCTATTCTGGCTTCATCCATGTAGATCTATAGGTGACATCACTGCCTGTGTTTAGGATAGTTGGTGAGGGTTCCCATCCCTACGTATTATATGAAAGGGCATAATGGAAAAGGCTATCCTATCAGAACAAACAGTGGGCCAGTCCTGTCATGAAGGTGCGACCAGAGGGAAATACTTTGACCATGCAGTTAGTTGAAGGTACTCTGTAATGAAACAGACTACCTGTGACATTGGACTCTGATGGAAGTAGCCATTTCCTGCCTCTTAAGTTGGGTATACACAGTTATATTTTCTTCGTACAACCTGCGGGCTGAACAAAGAAGATATAACCGATTCCTCCAACGATGCTTAAAGGAGAACTATGAGGAGTGCTTTTCACTCACCTCATAGTTCTAGCCGACCTGTGACAATGAGACTGTCACAGGTCGGCTCAGTAGATCGAGAAGTGAGCGAACACATACCGGCGTTCGCTCATCTCTCGATCCTGTCAGGCTCTCTGCCGTGACAGGGGAGGGGCTGGATTCCCCCCTCCGATCCACCAGCGCTGACTGGCGGATCGGTATACTCAGCTTAGGGTGTCGGGAGGACGCTAGTTTGTGTCCTCCCGTTACCCTAAGGAGAACTATGGGGAAAAGCCTTAACCCCATAGTTCTCCTTAAGAGCATGGATAGGGAAATCCCCCGCTGATTTGCATTACTGCCAGCCGCTGTCAAAATACCTGAAGTGAGCTTGCGAGCTCCGTTTGGCCGAGTATTTTCTAACCTGCTCCTTCAATCAGGTTGAGGGATGCTGGACAGAAGGGTGCCAACAGGAGCACCCACTGAGCGAATTTCAGCTGGTTCATCAAGAATCAGAAGAAATTTGCACCGTGTATACCCTACTTTTTAGGCTGTACACGAGTTACAGAGCAGTGGCTCAGTAAACAGATAAAGCTTTGCTGCCACAGAACTAGTATATGGCCCGATTCAGGGAATGACTGCTTCCATCAGAGCCCAATTGCAGAACTGCTTTACTCTGATAAAGGACCAATGATGTTAGCTCAAAAGACTTCTCTATATAAACTAGCTGTTTTTAACATTTATGTGTACACTTGTATACACACACACATAGACGTTTATCTCAAAGGTCATCAGAACTGAATGGTAGTAGGCTGTTGTCTGCGTACCAGGCTGCGCTTAGCTGATTTCTTACTGCAGCCTCTTTTCAGCCCAAAATTGCTCATGACACAAAACACATGTATGTTGTCCTCTACACAGAACATATAATGCAATGTAAAATATTGAGTTCTGTGTAGACACCATGACCTTTCTAGCTATGACTATTTTGTATGTATGTATGAAGGTTAATAACAGCTGCTGTATAGAGAACACTGCCAGTCACTCGATCTATTCATGGAATTTAATTCTGAATTCCAGTGCACAGTGCAGTTACCACTAGTGACTAATCAGGTTTTAGCTTTCTGAAGCTTAATGGAGTCTGACAAGTGACCATTTCTGTCTGTTACTGCACTTTGCACATTAATCTTATTGAATAAGGATGTTATTGTCTGATTTTTATTTTTTTTGTTTTGTTTTTTGTTTGTAGTGAACCAACTACATTCTCAAGAAAATTTGGGTCGGCCTGAACAATGGCTGCATCCACAGTAGGGTCAGTTTAAGGAAAGCTCCACTAAAAATAAATCCGCTTTGGTAGGTAATGAGGGAAATGTCCTGAACCTCTAGTTGAAGAGAAGTCTGTTTCCTCTGGGCTTGTTGGTCCATATCTCTGCCTCCCTAGGTATATTTTGCTGACTTTCTTGGATCCACTTGGCAATGGAGGGAGTTGAAGGTGCAGATTAAGGATTTGGGATGGGCCAGACATTTCAGCTAGTAGAATGGAGGCCCAGAAGTGAGCATAGCCAAACATATTGCACATTCTGCAGTGGTGTGGTGGCACATAGGTAGACATAGCCATATATTTTGCACATTACTTATGGGTCAATTCACTACCCATTTCTTAGGACTAAACCACATATTCAGCTACTCTTACCACACCACAGAAACTGACCCACATATAAAATTATGGCACTCTATGGACCTAACCTATTGTCAATGTGAAGCTATGTGTGATCTATTTTGGCCAGCTTTCATTATCCGTTAAGCAGGTAGGATGACTGAAAATACCCATGTAGTTTAGTCCTTAGGCTTTCATTTGACACCCAGCTCCAGGCAAATATTCTTTAATTTTGGATAGACTCAGAAAGAGACCTTTGATTAACTGCTGTGTCCTCATTTGGGAGATTTCTCCTGACTTCTATTTGATGGTGTCAAACAGTTAAGGGAAACTAGGCTAATGGGTGGCATGGGGATGGGTCAGAACCTCTGTTAGGGTTTTTTTTTTTTTGTCTGGTCCCTGTTGGAGAAATTTTCCAGGCACTAGGTGTCAGACAAAACAGGAAGTGAGGGGAAATCTCTTTAATGGAAACAATGACATCTATTAAAACAGAAAAAAAAACAGAATGTTTAACCCATACTCGGTCCATAAAAAGAAGAAATAGCTGGAGTCTTGCTTTAATGAGAACACATTTGAATCTGGGAGCAACACCAATCAAAGATTCCAAAAACAATCAATTTTCATTACTTGTGTAAAGTTCCAAGTAGTAAGGAAAGTATTTCTGTCCTAGCTGCCTCTTTTCAATAGCACGAGCCACATTCCCTTCCCAGGAGGATATTTTATTGTGATGTGGAAATATTCCATACTTGTGTGTTCCGTGGAAAAAAAATGCATTATGTATGTTACCCTCGTTCCCTGAAGCTGAGTGTTTGGGAAGGGGATTGTTCCAACAGGGTCGCTCCATAGATCAAACTATTTGAATTTATGGGTCAAGCAAACAATATGTTGTCCGAATACATCTCTGTAAAATATTATGTGTACAACATACAATGTGCTGTGAAGGTGAAACACTTCAAAATAAAGATAGTTATACCAGTCGTCTGATGTCATTGCGATTTTGTTTAAATTGCTTTTTGTGGGGAAAAAAGATTTTGTAATGCGAGAATGTGTGAAAAAGTAAAATCTGCCTCCTATTGAATGTCGGCACTTTCCCTTCATTGTTTCTGTTCCTGAAGTGGAAATAAACAGAAAAGAATTAAATTACCTCGAAGGAAAGGATCACATTCTACCTGGAAGGAAAGTACTATGTATATATAGCAGATCATGTGTCCGAGCCAAGTAACAAACCTTGTGCTGGTATTCTAAAAATATATAAGTTATAGTTGCTGCTTTTGGCTTCATAAAATGCATTTTCACACAAAGCTCTGGAGATTATGGTAATGTAGGGAACCTAAATCTCAAAATGGCATTGTTTTTTAATCAAGAAGAAAGAAAAACAAAGCTTGTTCCTTGTTTAGAAAAGTAAAATGAATCGATAAAGTTTTGTTTTTTTATTACTCGAGGCAGCTGTATGTGTTGGTTTGAGCACCACCATTTTGACTTTGTGATGCATGGACCCGTTGACCGATTATGGGTGTCTGTTCTTACAGCAAAAAAGGTACCAGACTTACTCAAATGCCTTGTGACCCAGAAAGGCAGGGCCAGAAAATTATCTCCAGAGGTGCTTCTAGAGATGCTTATTCTTGGCAGCCATACCAAGTGACCACATTCATGTATCAATGTGAAATTCTGTTATGTTTAATGGTAAATGGTGTGCCACTTCTTTTTTTGTGCTTTAAGAAGAGCTCCGTGAATTGAAGAAAACTTACCCTTGCTGAGGGGCTACCCCCACACTACAAAGGTTAAGTGCTCATTTTGTCTGGGGGCAAAATAAAGCAGATATACTGACCTGATCCTCCACTGGTGACACCTCTCTTCCCCTCTGCTCCGATTGTGAAGAGTCCCTCCAATTCAGTGGACATGCATTAGATTTGATGAGCCCAGGGAAGAAGAGGCTGTGACCAGTTGAGCAGCACGATGGGACCAAGAATCAGGTAAGTAAATAAATTGCCATTAATTTAGCCCCTTAGACAAAATGAGCACTTAACCCTCGCAGTGCGGGGGTATCCCTTCTGCAAGGGTAATTTTTGTAATTTATTTTTTTATTCCCATTTACTCATAGCAATAGTGTTAACTAAAATACATCTGCAGTTACCGCTACTGTTAAAAGAATAACTCTGGCAATGTAAAAAAAAATGTGCCCTTGCAGTAGGGCTGTGCCTGCACTGCAAGGGTTAAGTGCTTATTTTGCCCAGGGGACTAAAAAAAAAAGCCAATTTACTTACCTGATTCTTGGTCCTGTCGGGCTGCTAAACCGCTCACTGCAGCCTCCTCTTCCCTGGGTTCCAGCAATCCAAGGCCCGCTGAAGTCATCACCTCTAATGAAGGTCCAATTGACCTGCATTAGACATAAGGACATGGAGGGACATTCTACAGCCAGAGAGAGGTGAGCACCAACTGCCGCAGGACCGAGGATCAGGTCAGTAAATCTGCTTTGTTTTGACCCCCTAGACAAAACGAGCACTTGACCCTTGCAATGTACGCATAGCCCCTTGCAAGAGTGCCCCCCCAGAGTTCTTCTTTAACATTAGTGGTAACTGCTAATGTAATCTAGTTAACACTACCACTATGAGTAAATTGGAATTATTTCTTAGGTAGGCCTAAGATTAATGAGATTAGCTGGGACAAGGTGGGCGCTGAGGTGAGATGGGCTTTTAATATTTATATAAAGACAAAAAGCAAGAGAAAAGGAAGTCAAAAGAGAAACTTGGATATATAATGTTTTTTTTTGTTATTTATCCAGACTTGCTTTATACCGGTGGGTGAACAAAAAGGTATAAAGGATGCCTTGGATTATCTGGATACTGCCCAATTAAATGGGAGTGACTTGCTTATTGTGATAGATGTAGAGCATCTTTACACATCAGTCCAACATAGTCAATCTAAGAGCTTGAGATCCTTTTTTTTGCCTGCATAGAGGCTAAACACTAAAATTAAAAAAATGATTTGTATGGTTAAAGCTTTATTTGCTGATTTCAAGAAATATATAAAGTACAGAAGTTACAAACTGTTTCAGTATGACAGATCAGAAGGTTTGACTGCTGC